ATAAATTTTTAATACCGATATAAATCATCTAATTGAAAATTTCAGAATATGGAAATCATTAAATCCAAAAATCAAATTAAGATTAAGACCTAGTAATTTGATTACGTAATAAATATCCCTTTGTATCATTTGAAAATAATAACTTTAAAAAATCTCATTGTTTTTTCTCATCTAATTATTTCGTATATAAAATTATAATTACCAACAACACGAATCGATTTAGTTCTATTTGGATTTTTCATTTCAAGAACTTGTTTAAGAAAAATAACCTAAATAAAGAAATTTTTACACTTTTTTTATTATTTTTTTTGTTTTAATAAACCGACTTGTTCATTTTCAAAAACACCTTTCATATTGTTGATTGGATCATATGGAATTTTATTTGATTTTTGAAAAAGTTTAATCCATTCAGCTAATGGTTTTTCTAAAAATCTATTAATTAATATAATAGAATATTTCTATTACTCTAAATAAGTAAACTTTACTTTTTTGATAAAATAGAAACTAATTGTTCTCTATTAGCAACACGAAGTTTATTAGTTTTGTATAAATCATTGGTTGTAAGTTCAGGTAAATTCATAATCTATATATGAAAGAAAATATTAGTTGTAAGTTTTTTTTTTCTGTTAATGATTAAAATAACAAACTGCACAAAGTTCACGAAAAAAATGATCATTTGCAGCTCCAACAACCATTCGTTCACCATCTTGACATGTAAACGCTTGATAAGGAACGATAGATGCATGAGCTGTACCTTGACGTTGAGCTTCCAAACCAGCATTTAAATAATTAGCAGCAACATGCGATAGAAGAGAAAGCTGAAATGATCAAAACAAATGGTTTTTAATTTATAAATAATTTTTCATCGATATTTTTATATATAATGTCTCCAAAAATTGATCATACAGATTTTATTTTGACGTTTTACCGCAATGGTAACTACTTAGTATTAAGAAGCCAAATAGTGATACTGATAAAGAAATTTGTTTCCAACAAGGATTTGAAAGAAATGAAACCCTTACTGTATTTCCAAATATGATGTGCTTCACAGTTGTGTGAATAATTCTTGCTAGGAACATCATAAACACCTGCAATTTTCATCATTCAAAACCGAAGACTCGAAGTCATCGAAGTACATCAAAATTTGTTCAGTCATTAATTGACTAATTAGGTGAACTCTTGGTGAAGATTTTCGAAAACGATATTCTGAAGCTATTTTCTTTTCAATTCGATAGAAAAAAGTTTTTCTCTTTCAATTTACGCAATACCGACATTCACAGATTGTTCTGTTCGAAAGTTATAAAGCTTTTCTTGAGATCTCCAATTTCAGCTCATTGACCGGTGATCATCCGGAAAAGCAGTCAGGCAAGCGTAGGGCATTATACTGAATAGAATGGTAATATTTGTTTTTAGATTCGAAATTATAGGAAATGTTTATCTCAATATTGCTGAAATCTCGGCTCCTTCATTACATGAAGGCAGATTGTGGAATTTCAGAAATGTTGAGATAAAAGTGTCAGATTGTTTGAACCTAAAAATAAATATCAACATGCGATCAAATACGGTGAATTGCTTCTGTCTAGCTGCTTTTTCGAATGATCACAAGTCAATTAGTTGAAATTTAGGGCTTTAGGAATAATAGCCTAATAACTCTCGAACGAAACGAGGTACAAATGTCTGTTTTATGTAGATCGGATGAGAAAGAAGAATTTTTTCTATAGACTAGCTCAATTAAAAACCTGAATCGAAAAAGGAGTAGCTTCAGAGTATTGTTTTCGAAAATTCCCATTAAGAACTCACCAAAATGGTTAATACCAACAAATCAAGTTTTGATATGTTTCAATGGTTTCGGATCTTCTATCCTGAATGGTTAAAACTGCAGGTCTGTACGATGTACCGATCAAATATTTATTTAAAAATCAGTGTTTGTCTTCTTTATGTCAGTTACCATTACGGAGAAAAAATTTGAAACAAAATCTTTATGATCATATTTTGGAGACACTGTACATACTTGAGTTTCAAGTAATGAACAATCAATTTTTGTTCCTTTTCCAGTTTTTTCACGTTGATATAAAGCAGCCGTAATAGCTCCAACACTTGATAAACCAGTAGCTATATCAACAACAGCAACACCAACTTTGACAGGTTCCTAGGTACTACTTATAATTTATATATTGATAAAATAATACGATTAATCAAACAAAGAAAACTCAATCTTACCGAACTTCCTGTTATACTCATCATTCCACCTAATCCTTCAATCATTAAATCATAACCTGGTCTTTTTGAATACGGACCTTTACTTCCATAACCTTAAATAATATTAATTAATAATAAAATAAAAAAGTAAAATATTTATTCAAACCTGTTATTGAACAATAGATAAGTCTATCATTAATTGATTGAAGATCTTTATATGTAAGACCAAATTTCTTTAATTGTCCAGGTAAATAATTCTCAATTAAAACATCACTTTTTTTAGCTAACTAATTTAAGAATAATCATAAGAATCTTATTAGTATTTTAATTATATAAAATTACCTCACGAATAATTGTTTGACCTTGTTGACGACTCATATCAATAGCAATACTTTGTTTATTTCGATTAATACTTACAAAGTATACACTTTGATCTTCAACATATGGTGGTCCCCATGTTCGTGTATCATCACCGTGACCTTCGGTAATTATACTTAAGAAATATATTTATATTTAATAAAAAATTCTCTTTGATTTACCAGGTTTTTCAACTTTAATTACATTTGCACCATAATCAGCTAATATCATACTAGCAAAAGGTCCTTAAAATTTGTATGAATTATTTATTAAGAAAAAACAAAAAAAATCTGATACACATGTATCTCACCAGCTAAAACACGTGTTAAATCTAGGATTTTAACTCCATGCAAAGGAAGTCTATTAATAGCTGTCATTTTCAGAAGTTTTTCTATTGTTATTTATACCAAAATTATGAAATATTTTATTTAAAAAATTTTATTTGTCTTTTACGAATGGAGTATGAATGGAGCAATCGTTTTCTTTTTCAAAACGAAACAATGTGTCAGTCGTTGTCGGTCTTATTCGATGTTAAATATTAATTGTAGCTTTTTGCAACCATGTAAATTCTTTTCTCTCTGTAAAAGAAAGTAGAAAGAAATGAACGACTTCGTTGAATATGACAGAAATAGAGTATGAAAGGATGAAGTAGAATTTGCTTCTGGCTGTCCGAAATTACAATCGAAATGATTCTTCATCGACATAAAAAAAATAAATCAATGAAATCAATAATATAAAAATTTCTTCAGGAAAAACCGTTGAAAAAGAAAATAATATATGCATACTTCAACGTTGCCTTCCAGCTATTATATTTCTTTAGAGAAAATAATTTCGAATTTCATCAATTTTTTATCATCTGGATTCTATGAGAGATAAAAACTGAAAAATAGAATCACAGTTAGAAATCATACTAAACGTTGATTTTGGAACAAAGAAATACAAATAAAATTGTAAGCAAAATTATGATGAAAACATTGTCATTATGGATAATGTTATTCGTTAGCGACATTATTTCGCAAAATTTTAGCTATTTAGTGATGTAACAGAGAAAATGACAAAGGTTTTCACTGCGTACATTTCCGTTTACGAATCCTGAAATTTTAAACAATATTTTTGAAAAGTAAATACTTCACCTTGTAGAGAATTCTTCAGAATACAGAATCTCAACATAACGCGTTTGTTGACTATGCTTAGGTTTTTTTTCAAAAAATTGAGTTTATTCGTTGTTAATGACATGATTGAGTACGAATATAGAATAGAAAAATGTTTTTGTAAATGAATGAGAAGTCCAAAAACCAATGCTAAATTATAAAAATCCTTTCTTGAGGATCGTAGAATGATAACAAAACAAAAAAGTCTCGTTCTGCGACAGAAAACAGATCTCTAAAAATTCGATTATTAGAAATTAATTTTTTGAAGTTCGATCTTGCTGAAAATTGTACCATAGATATAGTCTATGGCATAGTCTATTCTGAAATTCTTGGACTTTTCTATCAGATGGTTACGAAATTATTCATTAATTACCTTTCAATTAATTAGCTGTGAGATGAAAGAGGTAATATTTTTACATAAATTCATGGAAAAGATTTTGTTCAAAAGAAAAAATAATTCTTAAATAGAATCAAATTCAAGATGATTTTGTCCCGTTTTCTCTGGTTTTTTTTTATGCAATGAGTAATAAACTATATGTCATTGTCTAACTTTGTGAATACTAGTCAAACTTAATAGTGTTATTTCTACAACAATCTGATTGAGATTCTCAGCAGTTTTGATTAACATCTAACCAAAGGAACGTGAATATTTTCTTTTTTNGGATTACATTATCTCACCATTACTTTACTTTGTCTTCTAGAAATGACATAAGGAAGTAGTTTATAAATTACAACGAGACATTATGAGATATGGTCTGTGACAGGAGGGAAGTAAGGTGTCTCTGGATAGAGTTGGGCGATTCCAAAACTTATCCGAAATAATAAAATGATCAGATAGATACGAAAATTTTAAATTTATTATGGGAAATTTCCGCTATATTGAATTGTTGAGATTAAAGACATCACACATTTCAGTACTTAAACAAAATAATATAATACATCTATACTAAAATATTTAATCTCAAAAATGAAGATTTCTCGACCTAGATTTAAGAGTTTTTTTTGTATCTATCTGATGATTTAACACTTTCAATTTGGTTCTCGGTTCCAGTTTTTTGGAACTGTCGAATTCCATCTGTGGGAGAGAAAGAAGTGGGTCGAAATTTTCACTTTTATACTTCCAACCTCCTGTTAAATCGTATTTTAAAGTAAATTTTATTTTTCTTGAATTTAGTTTTATATTTTGCTGTTTATTTCTGATAGTATCAGCATGAAAAATATTCATTTTCCATAAAAAGCATCTTGTCATTCTTTCTCAATGTGTTTTTTGTTATTGTTTATCTCTTTTGAACATTAGAAAAAATTTTCATCAATAAAAATTACTTCAAATGTCCAACATTCTTTTGTATTAAATAACATTAAAATAACCATTTGATAAGTTGATACTTGTAATGTATGTTTACGTTCTTTTGACATTGTTGTTGTTGGTCGCATTTCTCCATCATTATCATCTTCTTTTGGTTTACCGTAAAATATTGATACTAAATCTGCTGAACCTAAACTTGGTTGTAATGTTAATTGTCTTCCACTATGTTTACCCAAATAAAAACGATGAAAACATTGATATGCTTCTCGAACGACTGCTGGTAAATTACATTGATTATTTGTACTTTGTGTTGGCCAAAAGCCTGTTGTTAATACTCGTACAAATAAATCAATACCATTTAAATTTAACTATTCGACAAAAAGAAAACAATATAAAGATTAATACAAAAACAAAATGACTTTATTGTTTTTCTTACTCGTTTTTGTGAAACATGTAAACGAAAATCATCGGCGGTTGAATTTGATAGAGTTATATCTTTAAACATTCCTTCTAATTTACATGTAAATTGACAACCACATTCAGTTTTTAATCTTGATATCATATTTTTTTCAGCATCATCTGATGCTGATTTATTTAATAATAAACGTTTAGCTAAATGCTGTTTATAATATCGTTCAAACACATCTTTTTCTTCTAGATATCGAAATAATATCATTGCTTTATCAAGTACAACTTCGACTTCTTGATCACCAAGCTATAATTAATTAAAACAAAGTCTTTAGAATTTATTAACAAAGGATACGAAGTCATTTTTGAGTCATCATCAGTTTCTCTCCATTCATGGTTTACTTAATGCACACTTTCACGAGAAATTGTTTAATAATAACATAAAGCGATGTTTGAAAAACCAAGACTGACTTTTGCACATATTATTGACATGAATATTTGTACCATAAATGCATGATGCACAATTAGAAGAGTGACTTGTATAAATTGTCTCATACTAAGATATTTCCAATTGAAAACTATCTCAATTGACCATCCATCATATAGTGGATCTTTGATAAAAATATCAACTCGAACGGTTGAAATGTTGCTGAGTAATAACATAAATACTGTTCCAAATGAGCATGAAAATCATATAATTATATCACCGTTTCTATTTGATTATGCTCACTATTTTCTTAATATCTCAAGAAAGAAAAAAACAGCATAGGACTTTAATTATTTCTGAAATTTCGCATTGAAGGGCTACAAAATCAGATACTTTTTGGGGTTTTTTTAGAAGTGACCTTTGTTCCATAAGATGATCTGAATTTTGTTTAGACACCATTTTTTTTTACCGATGTTTAATAGAATTTGATTGAAGAAAGCAATCTTTGAGTAAAAAAGAGTAACATATTTGGGCTTAACATAAAAAAACTGAGCCGACTCATATGTGTTTCAAAGTTTTTCAACGAATATTTTCTTTCTCGAAAAATTCAACAGAGTTCCATCAGGGTCCGGTGATAAAATGAATTTAATTAATCAATGAAAATGTTATGTTCATTAAATTCACTTTTTCACTAGACTCTTAGGACGATTCCAGCTGAATTTTTCGAGAAAAAGTAGGTCTAAAAACTTTGACACACATATAAGTCAAGTTAGTTTTGTATGCTGATTTCAAATATATTATCTTTTTTGTTTTACTCCATACTTTCTCCAATCAAAATCTGTTAAACACGTGGTAAAAAAAATAGGATCTAAATCAAATTTAAGTCGTCTTAATAAACAAAAGTTACGCCTAAAAAAATCGAAAACTATCTGATTTTGTAGACATTTCTACGAACTTTCAGAAACAATCAAAGAACCATGTTGTTTTTCTTCTTTCTTGAAATATTAATAGAAATACTAATTTAATAATAGGATTTTCATGCTCATTAGGAACATTATTTACGTCATCACTCAGCAACGCTTCAACCGGTCGAGCTGATATTTTTACTAAAGAACGACTATTGAATAGTCGATTGACATAGCTTTTAGCTAAAAATATGTTAGTATGAGACAATTTATATGAATCATACATTCATGTTACGAATGTGAATATTAATAATTTGTGCAAAATTAGGTTTGAATGCTTCAGAAATCACTTTATTTTGTTGCCAAATAATTTCTCATAAAAACGTGCATTAGGTAAACTATGGGTGGAGAACAACTGAGGATGACCCAAAAATGACTCCGATGCGTCTCTCTCTGTCTTTTATTTTTGCATACCTCTTTACCACCTTTTTTTAATTTATCGTCAATAAATAATGATAAATATTCAGGACTACGTTGATTCAAATTAATAAAATATTCAAAATCAGAATTAATTCGTTTTTTAAAAATCTACATGAATAAAGAAAAACTTCGTATAAAAATTCTATTCTCAATTATATTTCATTTAAAAATTTAACCTTGTCATCATTGAATGAATTTTTAAGAAAATAATCAAATGTATCTTTCAAATCAAGTAAATTCTAAATAAACGAAAACATATTTCATAAAAAAAAAGAAAATATTCAAAATAAATATGTTTTTTTTTTATTTTACTTGAACATAAGTAATTGCATTTTTTCCTTCTTCAGCATTTTCAGTAACAAGTGCACGACCTTGTTCACGTAAATAACTACTCATACAATCAGCTATTGTTGAATGACCATTGGGAACACGTTCAAATAATTTATACATTGTTGCGAGATCATCACATTTACTAAATTTTAACATTGAATAAACACCAGAATTTTCCATTTCAACAATAGTTTTTAAATGTTTTGTTATTAATTCATCTGATTTTGAAGAAAAATATAATATTAATAATAATAGTTATATATTGTTATTCATACCTTCTAGTACACGAACGATTCGTTCTTCTGTTGATTTATCAAGATAATGGACGGCTCGTTCAGCTTCTTCACTTATACGTGCAGCTACTTTACGTATATATACAGATGCACTATTTTCAGCTAATAATTTTTGACTTTCAAGCTTAACAGAAAAATAAATATTTGAATAGAAAAATAATAGAAAAAATGATTATTTCATACTCGATAGAATTCAGCTGATTGTGATAAAAATGGTGTTTCAAAATCATCTGCATACACTGAACGATTATCAATACCCAAACTCATCAACATCTGACAAGCATTTTTCACAGCACTCCTAGAAAATAAATTATAGATACATACAATATATCGAATAATATACAGTAGCTCTCAAAATTATTCGAATAGATTTATTCTTAATTTTTTTTTATTTTGTACTGCTGTCAATACAAATAAGAATCTAATCTAAATAGTGATTTGTATAGAGAATTTTATTTCTAATAAGAGTTTTTCAAGATGAAAATTCATGTTGAAAATAAAATTCTCTAAAAACAATCATTATTTGAATTTTTATTAGCGTTTACAGTAGTAGAAAAAAAATTGATGAAATAATTTTGGAAGTCACTGAATTTCTATCTTACAACAATCTGTCTAACACATAATAATCAAGCCGATGATGACTTAACTCTTCTACTTTATATTCACAAATATTCTTGTCATGTGAAACTATGTCTCTCTGACAAAGAAATTCATCCGACTGATAATCTCCGTTTGAGCTCAGAGTTTAGATAAAAATTCTGAAAGGATGGGTACCATTAGGCCTTTCTATTTGAGTTATGCTCATTTCACTGAACTTTCAGCATATTACAGAATATCATGAGAAAAATCTCAACATATTCTGAAAGTTTCACTTCAACGGTGTGTTTTCTTCCTAAGATATCGTATACTTAAACCTGGACTACTTTTCGAGCTCTTGTATGAAAGTAACGATTTTTTAAAAACGTTTTATTTCAGAAGGAAAACATCTGTTGGAGCTGAAACTTTTAGCATACCGTAAGAATCATGGAAGCTATTTTTTAGAAAACTCTTTGTTACGATTTTTCTCGTGATATTCTACAATAGGCTGAACATTCAGTAAAATGTCCACAATTCGAAAAGAAAGATCTAATAATGCGATTCCTTTAAGAATTGTTATCTTCACAATAAATTCTATTTATGAGCTCAAACAAAGATTTAAAATCTTTTCCACATATTTTTGTTTCTGTTATTAAACTTACTTTTCAATAATTTCTCCACGTCTTTCTTTAGCTACCATATCAAGTAGTGTTTGTCTTAAATGATCACGTATTGATGGATATCGAACAACATTATCACGAAATAATATAACACCCAAATTAAAAACAGGTTCAAGTTTTTGTCCACTAACATACACTCGATCCATATACATAAGTATATCACGTATCATAATCATTGCTGTTCGATGATCATTCCATGCAGAATTAAGTGTAGTTAAAAAGTTATTATTTAATGAATCAATTACATCTTGTCTAACCTATTTTGTTTTGGTTAAATATAAATAAATAAAAATAAAAATGAATTCGAAATCATACTTTTTGTACAAGATGTTCCATAACAACTTCACGTGTGCCTGTATAAAGTTTTTCTCCATGTTTATGTAGCACCATTGTATAAGCATTTCGATAAAGTTCTTCAAAACTTAAACCACTGTTATTTTTCTTTTGAATTTCTTGTATAGCAGCTTTCAATGACGTATTCCATATTTCATTAACATAGCGATCGTCCATTGCCGTCTAATTAATCAGAGAAAAATATATAAAATCATATATGTTGGAAAAACACAATAAAAAAACCAAAAAGAATTCATTCATTTCGACTTTCTTAATATTCTTTCTTATACTTACTCGTTGAGCTGCAAGAACTAATAAATTTGATTGAGAAATCTTAACTCGACCAACATTTGAATTTTCCGTTGATATTGTAAACGGACAATTATTAAAATTTGACCTATGGCTTTGAATATTCATTATATGTTGTACTTTCCTTTTTACACGTATTCTTTCTTTTCTATACTACATATACAGAACACACCTCACAATGTTGACTTTAAGTATGAAAATCCGCATCATCATCATGAGAGAACGAAAAGAAAGAGAAAAAAAGAAAGCAATCCGAATGGTTAAAGGTAAAGAGGTAAAGGAACTAAAAATGCCTATAGATTATTTTCAAATAAAAACAAAAATAAGAATTTACTTACAAAAAATTGACGAATACGCATTTTTTTATTTTTGTCGTCCACGTTGATAAATCCTCTACTCATAGTCTAGCAAGGAGAGTAAATGCTAAAAAGAAACAACGACAAAATTAAAATTATAATATATAAAAGTTCTTATTTGAAATCGCTAAATTTTGCTGCACCTCAAACAATAGAAATTTCGAATTTTATTTTTTCTCAGCTCAGGCAATATCAGTATTATGTTTTCAAGTCAATGATATAACATTCTTAAAAGTCACTTTTAGGAACGCTCAGAGATCTCTAAATTGCCTGACAGTAAATTCAATTGAACGTGACAAGTTAGTTTTTGAACAATAAGTTTTATTCTTTGATACCCGCTGTACAAATTGATGTATTTTGAAGGCTCGATTCATGTCTCCTCAGTAGAGTCCATCAGGTTCTTCTTCTCAAGGTTTTACAAATATTGAGAAAAAATGGAAACCAAAGTTGACTTCGACTTCTTCTCATGAGTATAGACTTTGAAGAAGCACTAATAGAATTCCAAAAACATACTGGTTGGTACAGTGAATACTAAAGAATACAACTTACAATTTAAAAAAACTCTTATATCAGATCTGTTTTATTAGTCAGACATTTAGTTAACTGATTGTCTATCTTTTTTTCACTCAACAACCAGAACACAGTAGTTCTATTATGAAATAACTGTTGAAAAGTGATTTTGCATAAGTCTACTAGCAAAATTTTTGCAAATAAGCTAGTTACTACTAACTTTTTATGAGTAATTGCGTAAGAATATATTTATTTATAGAAATGAAAATGTAAAAAACAAGAAAGTCTTAACCAATATGTTGCAACATCGAATTTCATTCGATGCGACATTTATTTTATTTATTCCGTAAAAGATATTAATTTCCATTTTGAAAAAAAAATTTTATTTTGATTCGATGTTTTTCATTCTCATAGATAACAGAGTATAATATAAAAACAAATACCTTACTCACTCTATTGATAATAAACCATGCAATATTACACAATCTAAAATTGAAAATAATAATAGCATAAAACCCTGACCATATTTGGTATGATATTTCCTATTGCTTTTAACTAGTCATACGAACTTTCATTCACTCATTCAACAATTTTTAAAAAAAGCATACGAAATTTTATGAACTATATACATATATATATATATATTTAACAAATCCAGAAATTCTGTGAAACTTAAAATGTTTAAGAATAAAGTGATTTTTATATGTTATCTTAAACGTAGACAGAAAAGAAAAAAGTATGATTTTGTTTTATTAATTGAAAGTATATGCATAATGTTGATAATTTCTCCTTCCATTCGAATTCAATCATTGATTGAGATTACAACAGACAGAAGAAAAGTAAATGTCGTCTCGCTTATTAACTTCACTTTTGTAATATGATTCATCAATGTTCTCATAAAAAGATATACAGATTACTACTCCAATGTTAATTTTTTTATGTATTATTTCTTTCGTATATGTTTACTTTCATTCTCAAAAAAAAGTTTTGTGTTTCTGATTTATCAAATGATAGTGAATCTACAATTTTCTTATGAGTTTAACTATAGAGAACGAAATTTCTAAAGCAGACCTTAGTAATTGTCATTATCGACGAATAATAGAACATGATCAAAAAAAAAAAACAAATCATCAGCATTATGCATTGGTAAATAAATCATACTTTTAAATAAAGACTTGAAGATTTGTCAAACAAAAACTAGTGTTTGAATAAAATCGATTATTCTCATATAATTAATGCCATATTATTTTCATTATCATATCACATCGACATATTTAGACATCAGTTTTAATATCAATAAAATGACAAAAATAAATAACTTATAATATTGATTTAAACGAAATATATATGTATATATATATATCCTTTGTCTAAAACAAAAAATAATAATAAGAATCAATATAGTTTTGATTCCGGCGCTAGACAGAGAAAAAAATTGTTAGTTGTTTTTAACTACAAAAATTATTGATATTGACAATTATTAATCAAATATTTTGTTTGAAATAATTTAAATATAATCTTAATCAAAAATATTTTATATCTAAGAATATCTTGAATTATTGTTTAGAATAAATGCACCTTAATGAACTTTTAATTGTCAGCAATATTTTAGAAAAAAATGACTATTATTTTTTTTTTAATGAAAATATCGAAAGATGCATGACTCATCTTTTTGATTAATGCATAACTGTGTTAAACATATTGCTAATGCTATTATTATCAAATTGTGTCTATAGAAAACAAAACATTTTGCGTATGAGTTTAGAGAATATATAGATTGCATGAGAGAGGCACACAGAATCTGGTAAAGAAAAATTTACATTGGTTGAAAAAAACACGAATTACACAATAAAACTTTGTTACGCATTTAATGATGATTCATAGAAATATAATCAATTGAAAATGAATATATTAATAAAAAAATATTTAAGCAAGAAAGAAGATTTGTGAATTTTACATTTGTGAAATATTGTCACTCTTGTTAAATCTTTTGAGAGTGATATCCGCAAAGAAATCGTAATACTTTATATTTTCTTTTATTTTTCTTGAGATCGCGTCTAATGATGAGATCAAGATTTTTTTATGAAACATGAGGCAATGCTTGGTAAGACAATGAAATATATTTTGAAAACGTTTCATTTTCTATTTCGAATTAAGCTGTATTTTTTATCTAAAAGTTTTGTGCATTTATCGGAGAATGTCTTTTATGAGTAAATGAATCAACTGAATTTAATCAAATAGATTCATTCAAATGAAATTGTTAAACATCAAAACAATGAATACTATTTGTGTACAATAACTCCATCCTTTGAAATATTCATCTCACGAATGAAGTTCTTGTAACCGGTTAGTTTCTTTCAAGTCAAGACTAAGTGTATTATGTGGGTCATAATAAGCAATGAATGTCGTGAAAAAAGCTCGAGTTCATAGCTTATTGCTGTGGAGATACTGCATTTTGACGGTATTTTTCAAGTCGATGTCGTCGGTCATCTCAGGAACACTGGAAAAACTGATTTTTCGAATTTTGACTTGAAACTTTCCATCAAGACAGGTCTTAACGAGAGTAGTTTATTAGAAAAGTTTAAGATATTTTCGTTATTTCAATTCTAAGATTCGACTATGGTAAAACGTGTCTTTCAGGTGGCCCATATACATCGGTAGTTTCGATGTTTTTATTTATGAATGGAAGCAAATCAAAAGACCTGAAGCTTTCACAATAAATTATTTTCGTTGAGGTTTTTCGTTGTGCAAAGCTTGAAGTCGAAATTCAAAAATGAGTTTTCCTGATGTTTCTGAGAAAGATGGAAGACCTTTACAAATGCAGCATCTGCGTAGCTATGAGCTGAGGGTTGGAGCTTTTTCCAGGATACTCATAGTGCATTAAGGTCTAGATAATGTACATAGTCTCAACTGCAAAACGATTAACCAGAGCCAGAGGTACTCATCATTCAGAAACTATATATTCAACAGCAATTAAAGTGGAATTCGAGAAATTCAAAGTATTTCTGCAATGAGGGCCGCTCGAAACACTGTGGCAAGTAAACCTACCGAAGGAGTTACAAATATTGATACATACAATATCAATGCAGGAGCTCCAATCAGGTGAATTTTACCTGATGTTCTCGAAATCTCTGATATTCGATCCTTTATCAGTAAGATTACTGGAATTTTTACTTGATAGTAATTGCTTAAAATAGACTTTGAGTTGTTAAAAAGGTATTTCTGATTTAACAGATTGAGTTTTTTAGTAAACGTAAACCACCGACATTCGTTTGGATAAAATCATATCTTAGTAGTTATGCTTTTTCTCAAGATCAATGAATAAATCAATCTGGGCGTTTCTAATATTACACATATTTACTCATTTTTATTTATTTTATTAAATGTTTTATTTTATTTATTAACAAATAAAAACGAATGATTATTTTGAACTATTCCTGATTCAAAACAAGAAGAATTAGATAAAGTTAGATTATATTGAATTACGTTGTTTTCTATAGTAAATGACCCAATCAAATTTTTCTGTATTCTTCACAGAGTTAATGCGAAAGACAAAGAAAAAGAGATTTAAATGCATATGATCTTAACGTACTGTATTGAGACTTGATAATCACGAGAATAAATAAAAAAATGAGAAGTAAACATGTTTTATGTTGAACATTTGAAGTATTGGAAAGAGATAATCTTGTATTCCTGAAACAGACTGTTCATACTTTGATTTGTAGAATAATAAACGTTTTCGTATTTTATGAAGATTGATGATAATTTTCGCAGAAAAATACACACTAAAGAAATTATTTTCATTTAGAACGAAATAGAAGTATACTTATCGAATTCAAAAATACTGATTTTCCTTTGTGATTTCTAGAATTTCTATTGGAGTCATCTACTACATCGGTTTGCCCAAAATAAATTAGTCCAATGTTTTGATCTCTTATAATAACTTGAATAAATGATCTCATTCAATCCGTGATAGAGCGATCTACATCACTAATATCGATTGATTTTTAGTTTTATAGCAATATAAAAACAAAACTGCATCAAAGTAATCTAACAATTTACAATCGTTAAAAAGCACGTATAGTAAATGCGTTATCGATAGCGTCTATTGATCTAATGAACATCTGAACTATGTTCACAGTTTGAAATGGACATACGACGCTCTCGACATTTCATAGAAGAAGAAGAGAGTTAATCGGTACATTATTTTGCGTTGATCAGAACATTATGTATATTGAATGCAGTTGCTTGGATCTATGAATAACTTCTTATTCATACATACTTATAGTTCTCTGGTATTTACTCGATACTATTTCCATCTTTTCTCCATAGCTGTCCAAAAGACCCAAACTACATTTTCATAAAGTTGACATTTCCAAAAAAATTTTTATGAATAAGTAGGCGAATAATTGTCAATGTCCTTATGTCAATATGCAGAACTACCAGTTAGTTTCGATCGTATCTCAGAATGTCTGCAAGTACACATGCACAAA